AAGTTTCATCTGATGTTGTTGTTTAATTGAGTCACATTCATTATAGACCTCAAACAAATAAATAAAATAATTTCAAATGCATTAGTTATACGATATAATAAGGTTCAGCTAATTCAAAATTCGAGTGAATTTTTTTCTGCTGTTTGATTACACATTTAGATTCATCTCATCGAGCTGATTCTGAAAAATACCTTCGGAACTTTAAGGTAACAGCAGTTTAGAATAAACCTGTAGAGTGCTAAGTACAGCTCTGACACATGACCGAAGTCTTTTGTCAGCTAAATAACAGAAAAGAAAATTTGAATTAATCTAAGTTTTAAGCAGTATTTACAAATCTGTTAAAAGTACATGTGGATTTTCTGTTGAAATATCATCTTTATTATCTTGTGCGTGTATGAGAGCTTGTTGTGTCAGAGTTTTGCAGTAGTCTTTTAGTTTTAACATCTTGGTTTGTTGATGGATATATGTGGACGAAGTGTAGTATGGAACCGCTGGTACAGCTCGAAATCCTTTATGTTCTGTTTGTAGCGCTTTCTAGGTACTAGGTTCGAACCCATCTTAGGAAATACATATTTTTTTCTGTTTTTTCATTATTTATTACGTATAATGACATATATATGTGCGTCACGCAGCAATGGTCTTAGCACCAGCTGGCGTCGGAGCCTTACCGACGAGTCAGCTTTAAACATTGCCCACAAACCAGCTGTTCAGTGGGCTTCTCGGTTTAAAGTTCTGAGGAACAATAGAGAAGACTCTTGACAACTCTGTTGTATTCTAAAATAAAAAGATGATCTGAATATAAGTGTATTTCTCGCTGAAATCGTGTTTCTTATATACAAACTTTATTGCAAAAGAAAACGGTGAATAACAAACAACAACCATTTAATCACTTAAAATCAACAATGAATCGCAATTAACTGATGATTTTCGTGATTAATCGCGATGCACGAAAAAATTATCACTTAATCGCGATTAAATGACGATTTTTTCCCGAATCGCGATTGAGCGTCAATTTTTCCAACCATCGCGATTAATCGACAAAAATGAAGCGATTTTCAGCACATGGGTAGCCTTTATCAGTCTCAATTTGTGCTGCGACAATTTCATTATTTTGGTCCGTATGATTCATTACCTCGTGACACCATCAGGTGTCACGGATTGCTAAAATCACCTCTCCTCTTCGTTCATCAGTTCTGTCAAGCCTAAAAATGTTAAAATTTGGTAATGTGAATGTCTGTTTCTGATGTAAATTTGTTTCATTTAACGAGATAATATCAGAATCTCTAAAGCGAGCATAGAGTTCTTCACGATTTTTTTTTCGGATGTAAGATTTATATGACGCAGTCTCATTAATAGTGAGTTGATTTGTGTACTTGCCTGAATTTTTTCCTGTTTTCGATGCTCTGATTTTGAAACTGTAGATCTTGTTTTTTGGTGTTGCTTTTAAGACCGTCTTGATGTTTTGGCACACGAGTGCGCTTAAATTCAGGAGTGCTAACATTTCGGGCTGCTGTAGGATACGTAGTCGTAAAGGATTGCGTAATTGGTATCAAAGTAGCGTTGTCTCGTAATTAGTGGTTGTTGATGTAGGTGGTTCGTCTATCTCAATGCTCTTCTCATCATCATCGTCTTTATCATCATCTATATTAGTTGAATCATTCTCTTTGTCTTCGGTCGCAAATTCCACATCACATTGTGAATTTTGTGGCATCGAAGATGATAGTGCCAAGAAATGTCGCTTGTGCTGCTGTGTTTTGTTTAGAATCTAGTTATTCTAATATTTTGTCTAAAGTAGGCTGAAGAAATGCGATAACTTTCTGAAATACCCGTTCCACAATTTCTGCAGTTGAAGGTTGCTGATGCTGACTGCCTAATTGTGGAAATGCAGTTTTAGCACTAACGTAAGATTAGGAGCTGTTAGTGAACGCTGCTCTGTTGATGTGTTAATTGAATAACTTTCTACTGTTGATTTCAATTTTTTCTCTTGTTCTTTATACTTCAGACACTCCCGTGAAGTTGCTAGATGTTGTCCATCACAATTTTTACATTTAATTTGTTGATTGTGCTCATTACACTGTTGTATATCATGAGAACCCGCGCATTTCGCCAAATTTGTTGTTTATTCTGACAACATTTCGAAATACGTCCGTATGCGAGGCATATATAACATTGTACAGGTTTCATATTATATCTTGCAGCTTCTGCTAGTATATATATAAATGATCGATTCGAAGGCCGGTCCGAACGATTGCGTTTCGGTTGTAGACGTCGACAAATGTAACTTTTACCGTGATTCCATCTCCGTCTTTTTTATGATTTTTTAAGCGTTCTGCTGTGTCAATGTCAAATCCTGACGATTTAAGTGCTGCTTCGATTTCTTGTATTGAAATCTCTACGTCGACATTCTTTAAAAATGCCTGCTTGTCTGTTTGAATCACTTTTTCTATGGATCTTGGTATTTATACTTTGACGTTGTTGGCATTGTCGAATTTATGTTTTGGTAAATCTAACAGTATCTTATTGTAGCTGTAAACATCACTATCGAATATTGTTAGTGTACCATTTCTATTTGATTGTATATCTATCAGTTTTACATCGGGCATTTTAGTTTTAATGAAGTTATTTAGTACATATCTTGTCATCTTCACACCTTGATATATTAATGGTGCTAATCGCAAACTGACTTTTGTTGTTTGTTGACTTTGCTGCTGTTTTTGACAAAAATCGCTTCTTGCTTTGTTTTTCGGCTCTGTACCATTCTGAATTGTTGTTTTTCGTTCCAGTTGATTTGTCCCTCCGCCCGGACCCAGGTGTTTTGTTACAAGATCATATGAATTCTGTCATAAGATCTTACAAGATCTCATAAGATCGATGACTCATCTCTACCATATAAATTTTGCGACGTAATACAGTATATATATAACATCATTCTCTTTGAAAAGCTCTTTTCTCAAACTCTTTTGGACTTCACACGTCAGTTGAGCACATACGAAGTACATGGTTAAGAAACGTGGCAAAAGACGGTCCTGTGACCGCCTAGGGCCAAATGTTAGAAATTATATTAGAAAAAGAAAAATGCAGAGGTATAGAGGATTCGACAGGAAATGATCAAGCGTATGATCTTGTAAGATCGTATAAAATCTTGTGACTTCTTATAAGGTCGTATAATTTCTTATACCTTCTTTGTGTAAGATCTTATAAGATCATACAAGATCTTGTACATTCCTATGATAAGAAAAATCTTGTAAAATCTTATAAGAATCTTGCTACAAGATGTCATATGAAATCTTGTAAGATCTTATAGGAAATTGATAAGATCTTTTGAAATCTTATGATTTCTTATTATACGATCACCCAAGATCGTATATGATCTTGTAAGATCTTCCAAGGTCTTGTTATCTAATCCTTGGACCCGGGGAGGCTTCTCCCCCATTCCCGATATTGTTGTGGCCAAAATTAAATAGCTCAGATTATATTGAGAAATAATGTAAAAAATTAGGGTTTTTTCAACTATTTTACTACAAAAATCTAATATTTTTACTTCGCTAGCGGACGCTTAATTAGAAACTATAGTAAAAGTTGTTTTTCGAAGGCGTATTACAGAATGAATTTCTGAAAGTTTTTTTTCTGAATCAGCGTTCAAAACTAAATTATGAAAATGTGTCTAGAACTTCTCAAAAGTATTTTGAACAAAGTATAGTTACTAATTAGTTCATGTTGGTAGGAATAGCAATGAGCACAGTAGAAGATCACGTTTTATTTTCTGATAAGAGAGACCATAGATGCATGTCTTCTTTCTCTGACGTTAAGCTGCTTGCCCACTTCCACTCCTACAAATATGTCTTTCTGTATTTTTATTCTTTTATATCACACCTGTTATTCTGTCCTTCTGCACAGATTTTCATCAAAATTAAAGATATATTTGTTTACATTATAGAAGTTATAAAAATGTACAATAAGTATATGTACAAGTATATGTACTACACTATAATATAAAAAATGTACAATAGCGTAGAGAAGTGTTCACATAGAAAGATTTTACTTTTATGTGATGTTAACGAGCACAATGACAGATAAACTTCACTCAAACTATATCACCAACAATTCAAGATAAAAGATTAGTCGATCCATGAGATAATTTGAGTTTCCATCAACTTGTTACTGGAGTTACACGTCCGACTTCTCACACTACTCCTCATCTCATTATTCTAAATATATTACGCTCAGCCGATGTTTTAGGACAAATCATGTAATATGCATGATGACTTCTCTTTCAACAACTCAAGACATCACTCAACACTCACAACAAATCGAACTATTTAGAGCAATTACAAAGCTAGTCTTAATGTCATTTCTGGATCATCGAACCTCTGTCCGACGATACTGAGTTTAAAGAATGCTCATTCATGACAACCGAGGGAAAGCACAACTTTGTTTGAATATCTACTTTCGTTCAATAGATGACAGACTTCGTTTTCACCATTTGTCATCTTTTACAAATGAAAGAGTGGATCGAATATACCCGTTTCTGTATTTCCTATTGAAAAATACTACCAGTATATATAAAACGTTTGGTTCATAGTTGGTTGTAGCCAGAATGTTACGGAAAGCAAAAGCTGAAAAGAGTAGTCATCTGTATTTTGTATGAACATCGGTGAAAGAAGAATCTGCACTCTAATTTTTAAGAAAAAAATACAATATAGAGCTGGGGGCCCGTATCACAAAAAACCTTAAGTCTGACTTAAGTCTTCGTTATGTGCACTTACGTGCTAATTTTATACACGTAAGTCTAGACTTTGACTTAGGTTTTTTCGTGACACGACCCTCAGTACTTCATCCCAGTACTACTGATTGTTATAGATCTTAGGTAGTGGATTCTCCATATTTCTCGTATTACTAGTGATAAATTAATTTGAAATCACATTTATTTTTAGATGATGTCCGAAAGTAGCGGTATTCCACGAATAAAGACTCCTTTGAGTCAAAAACAAGTGCATCAAATGTTAGAAAAATTTACGAGCAATGAAAAGTATGCCCAGTTATTTATTTATTTCCAAGTAATTAAATTTCTTTTTCTCTTTGCGTTAGTCATAATAGTACTTTAACTACGCCTAAACAACGTGTACCACCACGTTTAGCGTATAGTACAAATAAACCGGCTGCTGCTGCACTGTTAAAGGTAACTGCCTCTGCATCACCGTTTAAACGAAAAATACTTTCAACGTCGACATCATTGTTGGCACCATCAAAACGAAAACGTAAGCGATTTCTAGTTTCGGTTATTAAATTAGAAGAAAGGTGCATATATGTTTATAAATTTAGAGAATGAAGATATTGAAAAAATTTCTCAATTAAAAAATGAAAATCAGAAATTGGTGGACGAAATCCAAGTGTTGAAAGAGGTGAGTTAATTCAAAGTTATTAAATATTTTCATTGTCTGTTTATTTGCTTTATAGAAAAGTCAAGATTATGAAAATAGAATGCAAAATGTAGAACAAGGTATAAATAAGAGAAAAGTATTTTATACATAAATCCCTCTTTTAATATTTATTTCAGAGGTTGATAAACAACGTCTATTGTATGAAAAATGTGCGAGTGTCGATCAAACTGATACGGTATAACCTAAAATCTTCACTGTTTCTTTCTTCCATATAAATTTCTCGATTTAGAAATACCAATATGAAGATGAAATATTTAAATTAAAAAATGAATTGAAAACATCGATAAGAGAAAAAGAAAAAGTAAATATAGTTATATTCTATTTTGTTCATCATGACAAACTATAATTATTTCTAATATACCTTTACCAAATGAGCTGATTACTATTGTCTTTTAATTCTATAATCTGTTCATATTTCAACCGCTTTTTCGGCAAGTAAGACAAATATTCACAAAGTATGAATAGAAGAATAACTGTAGATTTTTGAACCGTAACAACCGGACTTGCTTCTTAGCTCTTCGATGTATCGAATATCTTTTGCAAATAGGGCTATGCATATGGCAAAAATTCCATCCAGTTAATGCAGAAATAGTGTTAGAGTCTTCTTTACTTGTTTATCAACGCGGTTATTCTCCTCGATGTTTTATCTATAGATTGCCGTTGAATATGCTGATTACACAAAAGAAGTGACACTAATGTTGGAAGAACGAGACTTAAAAATAAGGTGAGTATATCTGATTAACATCAGTATTATTTGACTACCGCTTGTTTTTGGTTTCTTTAACAGACAACTTAATATAACGATTCAAACTATGCAAAATGCAACAAATGCTGTCAAAGTCTGTATTTTAGTTCATTTTGTGAGAAGCCGATGTTCACCTTTTTTTTCCTTAAGGATAAAACAACAGCACAAATGACACGTGAAGAAGAAAAGCCAGCAAATGGTTGAATGCATAACATTCACTTCTACTTCTAATTACAAATTTTAATTGTTCATTTTAGACGATAATGCTGATTTTTCAACCAATGTAACGCATACAACACCTATTCGTAAAAAGTATGATAAAATCGGAGATATTTCAAATTCAATTTTTGTCTATTTTAAATTTAATCTTTTGTCTAGAATAAATCAAAAAACATCGCAATCAATGATAAATTCGGTTAGTATATAATTTAAAAATGTATTCTTTCAAAATTTTGATTCTTTTTCTAAATAGAAATGTACAATGGATAGGTTATTAACTGAACAACCAAACTATTCAACGAATATTAATAATATATCGTGAGTATACTAAAAAAGACTTCGACAAGCGCAGTAGATATCATGAACACACAGCTATTACAATTTTCGATGTTTAATGCTAAAGATTCGATCATGTTAGAATATGAGTGAATAAAGACTGTTCATTGTTGTTTTACATGTAAAAATTCATTATCTTCACTTGACACAAAGAAAACATCAATTTTTCGTGTGATAATTGTGTTCGAATGGTTATATAATTTTCTGTTTTCTTTATCTTTTAGATTCGTAGCAGGTGACAATAAATCATCGGATGATGATAAGGAGACGCATCAGTTTTCACGTTTAAGTGCTGTTGCTAGTCGAACAAGATCAAGACAAAAATAAATTGATTAAACGAAAAAATTACAGAACTTCACTGTATTGACATTAATAAAAAAAAAAAAAAATCTTATTTTTTTACGCTGTATTTCTTCATACTCCTGTCAGATAGTAGTACGTGGCAAATATTTTGTTTTGATTGTTTTTTTATCTGTGCTGAAAATACGAAATATTTTCTATTGTTCTTAATTCTTTTCTCTATTAATTTACTTTTTTATATTTGTTGTCAGATACGCGAATGAGATGAATCAAATTGTTTAAAATAGTATCAAGCATTATCCTATTGAATACTTCAGAACAAGTATTTGGATACTTGCAAATTCCGAAAAGTGACTAGTAAGGTGCTTAGAAAGTATTTTCATAAATCGGTACTTGACAACTATTTTCTTGAATACTTATGAAAATTCATAAATATTCCAAGATTTGATAAGTACTTGTATTTCTATAAATTACCTAGTAAACAAGCAGTTTTTACTCGCGAAAACATCCAAATACCTTCTACATTACTAGACCAAATACTTGCCTAAGCACTTTTCTACAAGTACATTCAACAGGATGTGTTTGATTATATGAGATTATTTTGTAGAATGTTCTACTGTAGTGCTCGATCTGTTGATACATTGTTTCATCTGAATAAAAAGTAAAAATTAAAAGGAATTTGTGCAGAAAAATTGACAAACAGACATTTTATATATACTGGTGTTATCGATTATTCTTCAATAGGAAATACAGAAACGGGTATATTCGATCCACTCTTTCATTTGTAAAAGATGACAAATGGTGAAAATGAAGTCTGTCATCTATTGGACAAAAGTAGATATTCAAACAAAGTTGTGCTTTCCCTCGGTTGTCATGAACGAGCATTCTTTAAACTCGGTATCGTCGGGCAGATGTTCAACGATCCAGAAATGACATTAAGACTAGCTTTGTAATTGCTCTAAATAGTTCGATTTGTTGTGAGTGTTGAGTGATGTCTTGAGTTGTTGAAAGAGAAGTCATCATGCATATTACATGATTTGTCCTAAAACATCGGCTGAGCGTAATATATTTAGAATAATGAGATGAGGAGTAGTGTGAGAAGTCGGACGTGTAACTCCAGTAACAAGTTGATGGAAACTCAAATTATCTCATGGATCGACTAATCTTTTATCTTGAATTGTTGGTGATATAGTTTGAGTGAAATTTATCTGTCATTGTGCTCGTTAACATCACATAAAAGTACATTAAGTTTTTTCTCCTTTATATGTTAACATTGGCAAAAATTTGAAAATTTTTTTTCCACGTACAAAATTTCTAGCAGACTTTCTTGTTAATTAATATCGTTTTGGAAATTTTTGACGTTATTTCCACGTAGACGGTACCATTCCAAAATGGAAAACTGAATATTTTGACTTGAATATCAATGTTGATGATGATTATTTAATTAGAAAATTGTCCACCTGGCTCTTTTATAGCTTCTGACGTCAGCAATGGGTCTCAATTAATTTTTGAGCGATTTCTCAACTAGAGTGTTGTGAATTAATATTTGTGAAAAGAATCAATTTTCACCAGGAAAAACAGCTCGCCTTTTTGTTCAATGAATAGAACGGTTTATTCTATGGTCAATGTTTTCAACAGATTTCTATGTACTGACTGAAAAAATCTAGCTGGAACGCCCGCTTGTATTTGGATTATCTAGATTAAAAGGTACATTTATCTAACTGCAGGCTGGTTGAAATTGTGTTCTAACTGAAGCGGCTACTGCATCGGCCGATCAATCGGGTATTTAATTGCTCAATTAATCGACAATAACTAGTTACACCTAATTGAAGCTAGATTTCATCTAGTTTGAGCCAGTTAAAATTTACATGTATGTTGCTAAAGCTAGATTCAAGTTAGATAAATGTACCTTTAATCTAGATGCATGAATTTCAAAATAAGAAAGTTAGATTTAATCTAGATCGAGTATAATCAATCATGCTAAAATAAGTTTGAAGAAATTTACACTTTTGTTATTTAGAATATCGTTTATTCGTTTATTCGTTTATCTATTCAGAATTTGCTAAAATAACATGTCCATTTTTACGCTCTCTTTCTCTTGATTAGCATATAGGTCATCCACACATTTAATAAAAAGGAAATGCAAAAATCAAATCTCTGACATGTATATTTTCCAATAACTCAGCTCTTTCTAGGTCTACTCAAAGAAACATACAAAAAATGATACATGAATAAAATTTACAAAATTTCAGTTAGATGATGAGATGATACATTAAAAAACAACAAAAAGAACACGGATAAATATAATTTACCATCGGCCTGATAGTCAGACAGATAGAAAAAAAATATGCATATTTTTTATTTTGTAGTCTGTTAAATTGTATTTACAATCTCCAATTCCTTTTATCCAGTCCGCTGTTGTAGGTCCATGTATCATCAGCATCATCCTGATTAGGCCCTTGATATTGGGCATCACGAAATACAAATCGATCACGTTTTCCTATATGACCCATGAATGATGGTTCGAATACAAAGTGATGTTGATTACCATCCGCAGCAGCATGAGCATCCCGACGTACACGTATTTGTTCACCATTGCTATTGATATTTAAACCATTCAATTGTGTAATAACTAGTAGTAGATGAATGCTAACAATAACAGCAAATGATACTGTAAATTTGTTCATTTTTATAGATTACAGAAAATATGTTTTATCTGAAAAATAAACAGGGTACAAAAGAACACTAGTTCGTGTCTGTATCACTTTTTATCAGAGTGTTATCTTAACAAAATGAAAAATATGATATTTTTAGTAATAAAATTTTTAATTCATGTATAAGAAAAAAGAAAAGACCAATGTTAATAACTTCTGCAGTACATGATTGAGTGATCATATAGAAATCCCTCGACTTTTGTTTTCTCTCTTTAACAGTAACGAAACAAGAATATAGTAAAACGAAGAAAAATCGCCTTTTCTCGTGATAGTAATATGGGTATAATGACAAAAAATTATAAATTATAAATCTATCACCTCTCCTAGAATGATGATAATAATAATCAATAACAAAAAATACACTTAAATAGATCAAAAAACAAATTGTTTCAATATTAAGAAAATGAAATCATTTGAAAGAATCTAAACGGTAAGTTAAGCATATCAAAAGCAGATATTTAGGAGTTCAATGTCAATTCAAGAAAGATAGACCAGTACATTAAATTCTTTTCATTTCTGAATTTGAATAAAATCGACCATGTTTTCAGCGTATAACGGGTGCGGCATAAATAATGATATCGCCAGTATTTCGTCAATATCTCGGTGAGTTTTCATCGTAGAGACTTAAGCTTAATCTCAAAACATTTTTCATTCAATTCCCTTCAGAAATCTAAGAAAAGAGCAGGCACAACAAATAACCGTAAATTCATAGGCTGTCAACACTGCTATGTCCCAAATGGGAGCACTTTCCAGTGCACATTTTCAGAAGATTAATTATGTCTCTGATTCTATCTAATCAGACGCGAACGCACTCGAACGTGGATTTTTCCATGTTTTCAGACGTGCTCGTTCTCACAGCACTCAAAGTGACTCTCTTAGAGAACACAATGAGTTTCTTGTGGCAGATTTCCTTGAAAAACGAGTTGGAACCAGGGAGCATATTCCTCTCATGCACTATGTACAAAAGAAGATTTGTACGCCAACTGGGTTGGTTAAAGATGATAGAGAAAACCTTTTTCTACACCTTTGCAAAACAAAACTGGCAAGAAAATGTTACACCAGGTCCTAACCGTACAAAATTTATAATAAGCCCCATTAACAGACGTAGAAAACCGAATATGAAATAAAAGGGAAAAGGTCTCGATCACAAAGATTTGAAATGAAAAACTTATCAGTTGTTTCTCAACTGATAGACCATTGTAAGAGCTACAAAATGGCATAGTCAGTCTTTCTCTATGCGACGAAAGTGTTTATATAAACAAAACGTAATATTGGTTGAAAAGTGCTCCCGTTTGAGACCTATGAATTCACGGTTATTTGTTGTGTGTGCTCTTTTCTTAGGGTTTTGCACCGAATTAAATGGAAAATCTTTTGAGACTACGCTTAAGTCTCTACGATGAAACCTCACCGAGATATTGACGAAATACTGGCGATATCGTTATTTATGCCGCACCCGCTACATCCTAACTCTTTTCTTTACATTAAAAACAAATCCCATTTTATAGTTCATTTTTACATTAGACTATTCTCTTCTTTTATATATTCGGCTATATTTATGATACTCACTGCGACTTGTTGATATGATCAATAGTTCGATTGAATAAGTTCGATTTTTATAAACTTGAATTTTCCTCGTTTTCTTACCTACAGTTAATATGATATATAAGTAAATATATTTATGATAAATATGTGTAATATAACATCGAATGATGTGTGATGAAAATGTCAGAAAAATTACTAACGCTATTTTCTTTTTTATTAAGGGAATGAGGGAATACTTTTTTTTTCCTCCTGGTTCTAACTAAATTTCCTATCATTGATTGAACAATGGAATATTATCATTATTTTTCCCTTTCATTATAATTCTTAGACCAATCAAAAGCAAATACTTTGTTTAAAAAAAATAAATTTCAATATCATTTATTAGAACAAATGAATAATTTGTATTTGAACATTTAATCTCATATCTGAATGTATGACGCACTCTTCTAATCGAACACCTATATTAAAATGATACAACTCTTATTGACTTTTTTTTACAAGAGTAAAAATGTGACAAAATAATATGTTATACGAATGCAAATTGACTAAAATATAAAATATGTTAGACTAATATGAAATTGTACAACTCAGAGAACAACTTAAAAGAAGTTACATGCAACAATGTGTTCTCGCATTCAAACTACGTATATATATATATATATACCTTATATACTAAATGTTTTCTCAGATGTTACTTTACCTAATTGTATTTAATGTTGTTTTTTTGTTTCAAAGATGTTTCTTTACTCGGTGGATATATTTATTATCTAACTTCGAAATGTTTTGTTTTTGTTCATTCACCATTTCATGAATCATGTTTTCTTAACGCTTAAAAAATCTTTCTCAAAAAACTTCTACACATTATCGGCAAACATACAAAGAACGATCTAATAACTGTTAGCATTTTGATTAATTCAATAAAAAAAAATATTTTTTATTTTTAATCGCCTTCAGCATTTTTCACTAATAAAAAATCAAATAACAAAGATAATAAAATAACCTATATCTAGACAAAACCTTTTTTTTTCTCTCTCAAATATATTTTAAATCTCAAAATTCGAATGAAGAGATATCATTTACATTGGATACTAATGTGTAGTATTGAAAAGATTCAGATTTCACAAGTCAAATCATCATCGGTAAATTCTTTTGCAGATAATTTGTTCACTCAAACGAAAGTTTCAATGTCTATGAAAAAGAACTTCCCCTCTTTCTTGTAAAAATTATTTTTATTGTGAGCTGAACGTAGGCTTATGTAGAGAGAAGTGTGTGCTATAAAATGAGACTACTGCCAGCTCTCCATGACCTTCCTTCAAACAGTTATGAAGTTTTTCTTTCAAAGCCTAGAAAGTCTCAATTTTCTTGAATTTTCCAATGAGTTTTCGTAGAGATATAAGCATCATCGCAAATATCCTGAAAAGCAGAGCAATGTGGTTTTTTGACTATACGTTTTTTCGATAGTTAGTTCCTTCAATCCAGTTACATTTCAGCCCCTGGGGAAAATGGTCCAACCGAGCCGAAATTTTTACCACAGATTTCTTCGAAACCTATCTCAGGTTCTAAATTCTTTTTGAGCGTTTTCGATTTCAACTTCATGAGAAGATTTTTAAAATAAAAAACTGATTTTTGCCCAGAATTTTCCGTCATGTTCGTCTATGAATTTTCTGAAAAACTTTAATTTTCATGCAGTCACGCACGCTATGGCATCTCGAAAAAACGGTTAGATGGAGATGAAATTTTTATCACAGATATCTTAGAACCTGTCTCAGCTTATAAATTTTTTTTCTAAAAGACATGCTTGCCTTCTCGAGATATTTGAAAAAATGCTAAAAAATTCTATATAAAAAATCGGTTTTTTACTTTAAAAACTTTCTCACGCCAAAAGTTGAAATTGAAAACGATCAAAAAAGAATTTAGAATCTGAGATAGATTCTAAAGTATCTGTAGTAAAAATTTCGGCTCGATCGGATCATTTTCCCTAGGGGCTGAAATGTAACTGGATTGAAGGAACTAACTATCGAAAAAACGTATAATCAAAAAACCACATTGTACACAGGGCTCTGCTTTTCAGGATATTTGCGACGATGCTTATATCTCTACGAAAACTCATTGGAAAATTCAAGAAAATTGAGAATTTCTAGGCTTTGAAAGAAAAACTTCATAACTGTTTGAAGGAAGGTCATGGAGAGCTGGGAGTAGTCTCATTTTATAGCACAGACTTTCCTTCTTTTTTTACATTATCAAAAAACAACGTCTTTAACCAAAAAAATGTTACAGAAAAATTTCTTTACTCAGTTGACAAATTTATCCCAGGGATGACAGTTTTTCCTTACCTTATAGATGTCATATTAATAATTTTCTTAATATTCTTTACTTTCTAGTCTTCTTTTCATTTTTCATCTTGACATTGTACGAGATTGATTATTATGGTCAAAGACTTCTTTGTTTACCAGCCATTCAAATCCAAAAGCCTTTTTGAACATTTGACATTGTTGTAACAAAGAAAGAAAACAGAACAGAATAAAAACGATTAAAACAAAACTAGTGTTCTTAGTATTTATGGAAGTTGTTGAACTATCCAAGTGATGAAAAAAAAAAAAAAAATGACGCGTCGCTATCTCGAGATACTCGAAAAAAAAATTGGTTAGATAGTGGAAGTAACCGACTTTCATTGATTAATTTTAATATAGAATAGAAAACTTTATTCTACCCACACACTAGGATCTATGAAATGGTGATGCTTATATTTTTAAACTTATTTACCTCAAAAGACGATTTAACTACGAATTCTGTGGTATAAGGAGATTAACAAGTGCAATTGACGGTGAATCAAATATAGAAAATTTGCTATATAATCGAATCTGATTTTTTAATCTTTGGAGGTAGACATGCAAACAAGTGGTGGGCGTGATTAAGCAAAAAAAAGAACTTTTTCTTACACAACCTGCGCTTTTATACTCATAATGTTAGAATTTCAAGGAAGAATATTCTCTCAGGCCAGCTAATATAACTACTTGTTTTAACAATGGTTTGTCCTCGATAAACCTAGATGTTTTAGAATCTTTCACTCTGTTTTTTTCTATACTACATAACCCAACGTATGAACATGCTAGTTTTTATTTCATTATAGGTAACAAGTGATACAGACCTGTCCCCTTTTTTTTTGCATATTGTTCTAATAACTTTTTTTTTCTTACATCTCTCTAGGACTCAAGGTTTTTTTACAAAAACGAATTGTGGAAATTTTGTACAAAAAGCATGTAAGTGTTTAATTCTTAAATGCAAGAGTATGAGATATTCCAAGAGTGAGATATTCTATTGGGATAAAATAGGCACGCCGTTAAGAATCAAAAGGCTTTGCATATGAACGGCTTATGAGAGTTTCACGTAATAATGTGAAACTGCTGTGCGATTATAAATGATTCTGAATAAAACTGAATAAATAGAAAAAATTTTCGTTGAAACTTTTCCATATTTCTCGTGCTCTGTACCTAAGCATTTTTTGTAGAAAATCTCAAAATTTATTCTTTACACAAAGATGTGAGGCTTGTAGAAAGGTAAGGCAAAAAGCAAGGAAGTCATATGAACCATTTTACCTACGATAGTTGTGATCCAGATTTTCTTGCAAAGAATGAACCGCAAGATTGCATTATGTGCGCATCATGCCGGATGTTTGTTTGAGCTGAAGTATTGATGATAAATCAACAAAATTATTATGACCCATTTGTCTAGTAATGTGAAAAATAAATGAAACATTGTTTTGTTTTATATAACGATGCAATCAGGTAGGTATTGAGAAAAAAAGAGAAAGAAAAGACATTTTTATATCTAACCGGAAATGGACTTGTTGCTATTCATGAGTTAGTATTGATAAAGTACTCATTTCATTTAATAAAAAAAAGTAAACCGGTATTTATAAATCGAGCAGCTAATCATTCCGGAAATATCAAGAAATCGACGAAATTATGTTATTATGGCCAATTAATGTCATATATAACATTTTCCGTACGATTACAAAACGATTTAGAAGGCACACAAAGTGTTAAACAACAGTCTGTCAACAAACGAAATATACCTGTACAATACTCTTGAGAAATTAGATAAATTCTATGTCACGAATAAAAAGTCAGATGAAAGTAAAGTTCAAATAGGAGATTATTTTCATTTTATATACTGATTAAACGAGAAAATTGATTTGAAAATTGAATTAATATTTTCTATAACTGGAAAAAAGACGATTGTGCACACAGCTTTGACCAAAATAAATTTCAATGAAACCTTTTTCGTTTTCACATCGGTTTCTACATCTCTGTTCTATGATAAATAAAATTTTACGATAGAACGATTTCATCTTAAGTCATGCATTGTTGAAGATGGGGCGATTTGTTTAAACTAACTAACATTTTGCTTGTTTAAGAAAAATCGAGCTGTAACACTTTTGAACATAAACAAATTTAAATGAAACAACACAAAACTTTTTCTTCATGTTCTGTTTAAACACAATAAGAAAAAAAGTTCAATAATTCCCAATGTTATTATAAAATTCAACAAAATCGTATATTGTTCACATTGTTTAATAAGTGAACGAAGTGTATACAAAGTGATTGCTGATTTTGAAATCATCAAATGTTAATATGAAAAATCGACTATTAAATCTATGAAGTCTTTTAGAATATTTGAATTTTGTAAAATTCTTATTCTAACAATTTTTCTTTAATTCCAGAATAGTTCATACTACATGATAATTCTTTTCCTTTACTAATTCAATCTATTCCTAGCATTTTCGTTGCTGTTACACTATAATACAGATTATGAAAAAATCAACATATAAATACAAACACCCAACAAGAAATCTTGTGAGAAAAATAGAATATACAGACAAATGAGCAAACAAACAAAACTTGCTATTAAAAACTTACCAAAAAAACACAGAACTCTTCTAAATGAATACATATAGCAAAAGAAAAATAGCATAGAAATAGAGAATACATTTTATCATACAAAAAAAAGATACTTTATAAATGCAAAAGAAAGCAATGTATTAATCACAACAGTACAGTGAAAAGATCTATACACGATCCACTTCTCAAACAGCGGACGGAAAAAAGTAATTTAAAACAAACCAAGAAAACACACACACAGATCACAGATCTTTAATATATGATAAAATTGTAAAGAGTGAAAAAGAAAATGTGAAATAAACTAAATAAGAAAAATACTTTAATTTCTTCTGTTTTGTGTATTATTTTGATTTTGTGAATACTGTTGCATGTGTGATACATTTTTTATTCGATTATGAGTATTATTCATAGAATAATAACCGTTAGCACTGACCTGACGTCCACTATTATTATTATTATTATTATTATCGACTGTTGTATCTGAAGGACCATTCGGTTGTTTTTGTTGATATTGATCTTTATTATTTCGATATTGTGCAGAATTCAACTAGAAAAGAAATAGATATTTTTGTCTAATTTAGATGAGTTAATCTTTATACGTACATAATAAACAAGTGAATCTTTTAAATCGATTGGTGTATTATCAAGATTCATTGTAATACCAATTTTTTGTAATGCCAATAATAATACGTGACATATATTTAAAAAGTAAACATTCTTCTGTTCATTACACACTCGAATTAATTTTAGAAACTGATATGATACAGCTTGAAAATCCCAGTTCTCAATCATATGTGATGTCCATTGTTCGTAGGTATACCACAATTGTGACGAAGATAATTCTTCTTGTTGTTGTTTTGCACCGGATGAGTAGGGCGGTGCGGTTATTTTTGAATTAGTTGCATTATTCGTGATTGGTTCTTCATCTTCGAGAGACGGTAACATTGATGGAGGAATATCGGCACACATTGCACGTAAAGCACGTTCAAAAAATACTTCGGGACGAATTAATAAAGTACGATTACCATTACGATCCGTTTTAGTAAAACATTGATGTTTTGCAGCCCAATCAATGGCAATTTCTAATACGGTGGCAATAGCTAAAAAAAAAACAAATCGATATACAGTCTGAATATGTAGAACGATGTATATTTAATAGAATTGATAAACAGTTTTATAAAAAGCGAACTGTCAATACTTCACAATATCATCGTCAGACTAATATGACTGTTGAATTCCGAAAAGAGAAATAATTATATATGCTAGATAGGGAGGTAAAAATTAAACATAAAAATGGTAAAATATATATAATAAAATAAAATAATTATCTATATTATTTAATCCAGAAAGGCAGGAATTAAGGTAGTTCACGAAGAGAAACTGAAGAAACTGCACGATGGGACGGTTATTCAGACAAAGTCAACCATGTTCGATCCTAAAAATCTAGTTTATAATCTATCAAATCGGGTCCTTGATTAAAACGAATTAAAGTTCTTACGTTGTGGTTGGAAATTTTATATCGAACATAAGATAATAAGAGCCTTAGATCTAAAAGCAGATATTGAGCAAGATATGTATCAGATAAGAAGAGGAATAAGAAAAATAAATCAATCAACTGGGATCAATTACATGACTAAGTCAGAATTACCGCTCAAAATGTACCTTAGTGCATAAACGCGTAACCAACTTATAAAACGAGGAGATAGAAACGATGAGAAAGTTAAAAAATGATACAACGATAGTCCCATTAAAAGCTGACAAGGGTAACACAATTGTCATTATAAACAAAGCTGATTATTATGACAAAGTAATGGATATGTTAAACAATAGAACAAAATTTAGTATCAGTTTATCAGATGAGACATTGGATAAGGAAAATAAAATTAACAATCGATTGAAGCAACTATTAAACTATAAGAAAATTGATCAACAAACTTACGATTATCTTTTTGTTAGTGGATGTACGATATTGTATTTATACTATACGATCAAAGTATACAAATTGAATTATCTGCTACGGTCTATAATCCCTACTTGTAATGCATGATGTTATCATTTATCAAAATATCTAGCGGAGCAACTAAAGTTTTGTAATAACAACTCAAAATCGTTTATAAAAAGATTCTTTCGATTAGTATCTTGTTTAAAACAAAGAAAAATCAACTCCGGTGACATGTTTTCTAGCTTTAATATCGAGTCGTTATATCCGGGTGTACCAGTTGACGAAGTGATAAAAATAGCAGTCAACAAAATATGGAAACAGAATGAAAAGATGAAGTTTACAAAGATAACAAAAACAGAGCTTTTTATTTTATTCAATTTAGCTACACGAAACGTTCAAGTTCGTTTTTATCATAATATTTCTCGACAAAAAGGTGAAGTATCTATCTATAGGCAGTTCATTAACCTCAATTTTAGCGAATCTATTTATGGAAAAATTAGAAAATGATCATATTTTAACATAAAAAAATAAGGAAATAATAATGTGAATTTGATACGTTGCCGAATCCAGGAAAAGAACTTCGAAAATTGTTCTAATTAATATCTCTCCTATAAACACTATTTATCTACAAAAACCCAGTCATAAACGGCTCTGGATCATATTTGATGCCCTATAACTAGCATCTATAGTAAAAGATCCACCGTACACTTCGTGGCGACGTTAAAAATAAGGTCGACATTTATGTATAGTATAACTAGTAATATGTGAATGATTAGTTGTAAAAACTATTAAATATATACGTAAGTGTAGGGTCTTCATACGAATGTAACATCATAACTCATAGTTTCCTTTTGCACAATTTAGTGCAATGAGAAAATGTGTAGCTGGAGAAGTGCAACATATGAAGGTCGGAAGATCTCGAATCTAGGAGAAGTTTAAAAAATTGTTTTAAATATTCTAGTCATAATAAGCAATGCATTTATATTGTTAGTGAATATATTCATCTAAACATAAAATTCACACTACAGATAGGACAAGATAAATTTAAATACACAAATTGAACAAAATTTCCTTTTTTTTGATAATACATAGGAACTCTTGAGATACATACAGCGGATGACAAAGCATCTTTCACTTTTTATACTATCTTTTTCTTCTTTTCTTTCATAATCTAGAGAACTCTTGCTTGTACAAGTTACAAAAACTTTTAAAAAAACAGAATAAGAAAGAAGAGAAACCAAACATGTAGGAGATTTATATATTAAAAAGATATTTCTTTGGACTGAACCGTAAAGACAATTAATGTTTAAACTAAAATGAGATAAAGTTCATCAAAAACGATGGTGGAAAATTCTCTCAAAAAGTCAACGGTTGAAGTTGCCGCTATGATACAGTTTTTGTCATCTACTGTATATATGTCAGACGTTTCTATGTATTATTAACAAGAGGAAATTTTGTTTTCCAATTTGTGTATTTAAATTTAATTAAATTGATTATTTGTATCCATTGATGAGGATTGAGCTAGTCAATCGAAACGCTTGAAAACAACTAAATAAAGTTTATTACGAAGGAAAAATATTTAATTATAATTATAAAAAGAGTTGATTAAACCATTATGATCTAAGACGATCAAAAGAAACGAAGAGAAATATTAAATTAAACTTTTGTTCTGTTCATATTTCTTGTTGTATATATTTTCTTTATATTCTTTTTGTTGTCTATCTACTAATGAATTTGATCATCAAAATTGACTAATAATAAACACTTCACTAGTAACAGAATTTCCATTTTTCCCTATTAATTTTCTACTTTTATGTTTACTTTTTATCTTCCTATCTAGCATATATAATCATCTCTCTCTTCGGAATCCAACAGCGCTGGTAATGTAAAGTATCGACGGTTCACTTTTTATGTAAAATGATTTTACAAAAATGTTTTTCAATTATATTAAATACATTTAATTTTATATGAAATGTAAAAAAAGTCAAAAAATGTCAATATATGTTACATACCTGGTTGGGCTAATAAAATTTTCATAAAAAACTTGCTTGCTTTTGTTAATTCTCGAATTTTAAATTCATTTAATTTGACAATATCATAATGATTTTTATTTAATTTTATTATAGTTTCAGCATGTGTACCAATTTTATTCGGTACAACTAGAACTCGAACGCGCGAACCAGTCACATCGGGAATATTCAAAAACGAATAGGCCGGTTCAAATAAATGTTCACATTTATCCATATCTATAAAAAGGTAATGATTTAAGATACGATAATAAAAGTTTAGATCAAGACTATCGATTATTCATCTTTTTTTTTTGTACAGATGTGGTTAAATAAGTACTACTACAGTAATTTTTAATGATACACTAGAACGAGCTTCTAATATTTCATCAAATAAATGACGAATCAATCTGCTTTCAACTACTAAAATGATCAAGTTTTCCTATTTTACATCACCAACTCACCTAAATATTTATGTAATAATGTTCTTGCTCTCTCATAATTAGCCACATGTTTTTGTTTAACTGTTGTCATTGTTATATAATAAGATTTTAATGCTTCAGATAGTGTACGTGACGATAAATGTTGTATTCGTTCTTTTCGCGCTCGAATTTCACATAATAAGTCCCACATAACCCAAGCAAATGATTTTGCTAGTATTGTTTGTTCGTTATCGGTATAAGCAATATGATACCAAGCACTTGCCTTCTGTAATTGTAATCGAATAACATTTGGATCATGAGATAATATGGAATTTCTAAATGAAAAGAACAAAATCATGTACAAAAAATTGAATAATCTTCTAAACATACTTTGTGCCTCGTTTTTTTTTATCATCACCAATAAAAAATTCATTTAAAAATTCTCTTCTCGTATCTGTTCTTAAACGTTTAAAATCTTGTCCCGCAATATCTGCTGCATCATACGATCGTTTTTCATCAATATTGCTCGGTTGACATCCGGTAATCAATTCTGCTTCACTTACATAATCATATAAATCTAAAATTTGTTGTAATTTATTACAATATAATTTATATTGTCTTTCAGCATCCATTTTGTATGTTTCATAACCGTCAACAATTAATTCTTGATCTAATTCAATCATATGTTTTGATTCATTAAATTCTAATTGTAATTGTAATTCATATGCCGCTTTGGCTTGACGATACAGTTTACCTAAGCATAAAACAAATATTCAACTATTCTATTCATACGAATAGTTTAAAACTATATACCTAATACTTTTCTGCTACGATATGATCGAAGTTCTTTTTCCATAAAATCTGGAAAACGTGGTGCTTTTAAAGCTCGACGATTTTCATCAGTCACCGGATTAACACCTGTTTTGGGATAATCAACAACAGCTGAAATAATTTTTGCTAAATTAACACATGTATCTGATACAGCTGTTTCCAAATCTGCCCATGCCAAATGTGCATTACATAATTCTCCCAAAAAATCATTTGCCATATAATCAATTAAAAATTCGGCAACATCATCAATTGTTATTTGACGATTTAATAATTTCTTTTCGGCTGTATCATACGCTAATGGTTCAATTTGATTTTCTGGTTGTGGAACGATATCCTGTAACCAACATACCTAGAAAAACAAAAAGATTATGTCAATTAATATACAGAAAGAATTAGAAATAATTAATTTACCCAATAGACATCGCCATCAAGATCTGATCCACTAATTTCATTCGTATGTGGTCGATGTCCTTTGGATGGAAATACAACACAGTCATAAAGATGATGTAGTTGTGGAACATCAACTGCTTTAAGTACTCGAATATCACCCGGATATAAACATGGATTTTTTGTAACGGCCACATTACCGAGAACAATTTGTGGTTCACTTTCATTTCGTGTTGTGTATTGAATAAACACTTCTCCATACTCCAATGTTGATGTTTCATCAATAATACCAAACATTGCACGACCAGAACAATTTGGTATGGCAACATTCGAACGTTGACGTAAACAACGTAAACGATCACGATAAGCTAAAAGTAGACAGAATAAAATTATGGGAAAAAAAGAAAAAAAATACAAAGATGTGATATACCTGCAATGAGTAATGAACGAAAAAATGGTTCATGTGGTATGTCAATACCACAATCTCCTAATTTATCAAAATCATAATATCGAACTTTGTCTAATAGACTAATAGCTTCACGTCGTTTCAATAATGCCATTGTCGATCGTAAACGTGCATCATTTTGTAATGATAAAAATGCCGCATCTTCAACACCCAAGGATGACAAAAGTGTAATAACTTGACGATTTAATGTTAAATTACAAGGTTTTGAAAAATCAATGACTTCTAAATCATAATGATCCGATTCAAATTTCATTTGACTTTGGCGAACCTGAATTAGATGTTGATTGTCTAGAACAGAAGAATAAAAAGTGAATTATAATTTCAGTTTATTTTTTACTATTGCTGTAATCTTACTTAATTCCGGTGCTCGTACTAATACACCTTTCATCCCGGCTAATCGAATTTGTAATGCACATGGTAAATAAGATGTGGCTTCATCAATGTCTAATTCTTGATAAACTCGTTGTAACATGGGAAGACTAATTTTGCCAATACCATCTGTGAAACAGTATTTTCTCCATTTATCTTGAATATCATCAATTTTTTGTAATTCCTCATCTTTTGTAATTGTAATTGTTCGTAGAGAACCGGTGAAACATAGAGCCATTCGGGTAACATATGATGATACAGAATATTCATGACGAAAATCACCCATCCATGCACGAATTTTATCAGCATCAAAACCTTAACGAGGAGAATAAAATAACAAAATAACAGTTGAATGGTCCATCGTCAAATACACTAGGAAGTTTCAATTAGTGAATCGAAAGCGAATAATCTTAAAATGTTCATCTCTCTTTGAGGTGATTGCGTACCTTGATAAGGTGCATAAAACCAAAATGATCGATCTCTCAATTGTGAATTTGAACAATGTAAATATTCATAATCTGTTTGTGCTACTTGTAAATTTGTTTTTATTAATTCTAATATTCTTGTACGACATTGATCAACAGTTTCAGCTGACATTGTATACATATCTTCATCTCTCAATAATACACGACAATAACAATATGAATTTCCAAATTGTCTCTGTCTTAAGACACGATTTTCTTTCATTGGACGCATTGGTTGAGGTAAAATACTTGTAGGAGTTACAATAACTCTAGGAACATAGCAATAATTTGCCGTATTACCATCAAACAGCCAACGTGATGAACGATCAGAATATTTTTCAATGTTTGTTAATAATTGAATATAAATGTCCATAAAACAGTTATATTTGCATGCTTTATGTAAATCACGAATAACATGATAAAATAATGATGAATCGATAGATATTTGTTCCAAACGAGTGATAAATTTATCAGTTAATTTATCTTTCAAGCGATAACCTAAACAAATAAAAAAAATGATTTGAACATAATTTATATCGACGACAAAGAGTTTCCATTAGAACTTTTGAAAATAATTAGGAATTAATGCGAACTAATTTAAAAAAGTTTCATATTAAATTAGTGCACATTCAGTTTTTTCTGATTAAAAATCAATTTAAATTAATTTAACTTGATAAATTCATTCGAACTGGTTAAAATTTAATTGACTTGAATTAATTTATCAAGTTAAATTAATTTAAATTGATTTTTAATCAGAAAAAACTGATTGTGCACTAATTTAATATGAAACTTTTTTAAATTAGTTCGCATTAATTTCTAATTATTTC